CATTAAACTCTGACCTTGTGTCACATTCTCTTGCAATGTGAGAGCGTGGATAAAGACCTACTGCACTGTGAGCAACAGTGTTTGTATCTAGGCCAAGATAACCTGTCGGAGCCCAGGCCTCTTCAAGTTCGTTTTGAATTCAGAGACTGGTGGTTACCCAGTATTAGAGAACAAAGTCTGTCTTGCTTTTTTTTACTCTTAGCTGACAGGAGGAATAGAAACGTATTCATGCCTTTCTCGAGTGTATTTGTGCGTAAAAGAACATAACAAGCTAACCTGGATTTGAACTCTGCTTCGGGTTACCCTAGACACTGAGCATAGTTGAACACAAATCCTCACGTTTGAAACACAGAGTGAGAATAGAACTGGTTAGATTATTAATTGTCTGCAAGACTAGTTTGGTAAGCTACATTCCACTGCTAGGCACGGTTTGTTTTTGTTTATACGTTCTTTTTTTTTATGCTTCAATCTTTCAGAACATTTGCTTATTCCCTGTCTGTTCTCTGTCCTGGGTATGTCGATAAACTACCAGCCACAGCATGATCTCAAATCGGAAAATTTTGAGGAACGTGGCACCACCTCTTAATTGCTGTTATTCTCAGGTCCACCGTGACCCGAGGTGGTAGCACCTGTTAGTGTCCCAGCTATGGGCAAATAGTTAACATCAAACTGGAGTCAAAATACTATGAAAGTATAAAAAATAGATATTTATAGTTAAAATAATTCCAGCAATATATGTTTTGAAGTAAAAGAAATATTACCAGCAATATGTTTTTGAAGAAAAACATGTTACTAGCAATACACTTAACTCTCAATAAAAACCCTCTTTACAAAAATACGACAATGAAATCTGATCTACAAACTCATTTCTGGCAAAGAATACATTCTATTCATATGAACCTATCATAAAAATCTTGTTGGTATTAAATAACCCATTGAATTTGATATGCTGCAAAACAAACCAAATCATCTGTCTGTTCACCTCTTATTTATAATAAATAAAAATTTCCTTTATTAAACATTTGAATGGTGGTTTCCAACGTTTCTCTCGGCACCTATGTACATTAATCTATTTTTGAAATGCTCTGCTTAAAATGTTTATTCGCGTATGAAGATATTTATTAAACGTGCGAATCTGTTATAAGTTAGGTTCTGTTAGTTACTTTAAAAACATATTTAGCTGATTGTATTTTAACACCTACAAAGTTAAACTTCTCTCCGTTAATCATTATAGTGATTTCTTTCTGCCTTCCATAAGTATGGCTGATGCTAACCCCCAGGAAAATGATTTGTTGCGCCTTCTCGGGTTAATGTTCTCAGCTGACGTGAAGTGAAAAGATTATATTTAATCCATTGCTAGCTGAGCTGCTAAGAACAATTTTCAAAAAGTCATTACGAAAAACTTTGAAGTGGTAGAATTTTTGTTGCAAATTAATGTTATTATTAAAATTCTTTTAATGATATTAATAGTTCTATTAATGTTATCAATGCTAGTTCATTTTAACGCCTCCAAAACTAAACTTCTCTCTATTACTTATCTGCCTTCATGCCTTCCAGGAAAGTGACTTGTTGCGCCTCCTCGGCTTAATGTTCTCAGTGACATGAATTCGAAAGACGATATTGAATTCATTGCTAGGTCAGTTGCTAAAAAAGTCGTTTCACTATCGTACGAGACAATTTTTATCTGCAGAATATATGTTACATATATATAAGTCTACCATTCGTCCATGCTTATTGCTGCCACATATGGTTCGAGCCCCTGCTATTTACCTCGTCCTCCTTGATAAGATCCAAAGAAGAATCTGCAATATTATTGGTCCTAAGGTTGCCTCTCTATGCCTTTTTTTATAAATACTTTCATGGTAATTGTACAGATGGGCTCTTCTCTATGGTATTATTATGGTGGTTTTAGTAAGAAAGGTACGTATGAATGTATTGTTTTGGTGTAAGGAATATTGTTTCGTACGATTGGGTCAGTGCTTGCGGCTAGCTAAGTTATATTTAAGACAGAAGAAGACTGTCCTTTCCCCAATCCCCTTTTTCGGCCTTGTGCTACATTTCTGTATTGTACAGAATAAATATTGCTCTTCTCTATGGCACCAAGACTTCATGAATTTAAGCGCATTACTAGACTGGGATCAAGATCTTATCAAGTGACAGTTGAGCTGCTTAGAAATAGCCGTAAGTTCTATGCTAACAATTTCTTTTCTCGCACTTCTCGCTGTTGGAATTCCCTTCTGGCTTCATGCTTTCCAGCCACTTTAAGCTGCATAAATTTAAATGCAATGTCAATCTCTCTCTCTACTGTCCTCCTGATTACTCTTTTCTCGTTCCACTCACTATTAATGTTTCTGTTCCTAATTCCTCCACACTCCGTAAACCCTTGTGTTTTAGTGTCTTTACTGCTTTGCATGAGGTGATACCGATTTAAAAAGTAGTACTTAATATCTAATATAAATCTTACAGGATAAAATTTAAAGTTTGAATATGTCCGGTGATAAGACGCATCCTTGTCTTGCGCCTCTTTCTGCATTTTGTGTACTTCATTTTCTATCCGTATGCAGGCGGCTTATTCCCACTATATGGTCTATTCTGAGCTTTTTAGTATGAGATTTACACTGTATAATTTATAAATCTTTGCGGTCAAATAAAAAATTCAGTTTTATTAATAAATAAAAGAAAATTAAATGAATGGATAAATTTTAATTGCATTTTGCTGTAATCCGAATCATAGTATTCCAAACAAAAGAGAAATGTCCCTATTAAAAAAAATCAATGCTGTGCTTAAAATTTATAAATTGTATATGTGTAAAATTTTCAAACTGCAATGGCACTAACAGAATTATTGCCTAACTCCAGGCGATAAGTCTTAATTTCAAGGATAACGCTTTACTTTATCGTCGAGCTTGATCAAATCACGGATAGATTCTCATTATTGATGAACTTTCTTCTTTGAAGTTTAGACTCTATGCATTTAAGGAGAATACTAGATTGGCAGCAAGGTCTCGTAATTTTACACTTGAAATGGCTTTATGTAACCGTAAATTCTATGCTAACAGGTTCTATAAATTTTATACCTTGATTCTGTATTCAAATTGTTTTTTTTTAACCTACCGTAATTTACAGCGTACAAGTCGAGTTTTCAAGCATAAAAAATATTTCCAAAACTAGGTGTCGACCTATATGGCGGGTATAAAATTCAATGCTTTTCCACCGAATGGACAACAATCCTAACACCACTTACCGTACCTGGGTAAGTGGTGTTCATTTACCAGTAGACCTAAGTTTTGTGCCAACAGTATTTTAAGGAGTCGACCTATGCGGTAGGTATAGGCCTAACTCAGAATTTTAATCTAAAATACGTTTGCCGCGAGTTATACGCCAGCTCGATTTGTACGCCACAACTTACGGTAATATTTTGCAAGTACTGGTCTCTGCTCGTTCTACGCTTTAAAAAGCGTTTATGAAAGAAAATATATAAAAAAAAGTTTAACATTGCAAAACGTTATCGATTGACGTGTACCTCTATGATTTTTCTGAAACAAAATATAAATATATATAGAGAGAGAATTATATATATATATATATATATATATATATATATATATATATATATATATATATATTATATCGTTATCGATTGACGTGTACCTCTATGATTTTTCTGAAACAAAATATAAATATATATAGAGACACACATAATATATATATATATATATATATATATATATATATATATATATGAGCATATTCCAACGAAGGCAACGAAGACAGACCAAGATAGCAAAACACAATGAAATGAGAGATGAAAAAACTGCTTTTGTGTCTGATTCAGTGAGCTGACTAGAAAAATCAGATCAGGTTTGGCAACTTATGGAAAGGAATATCAGAAAGAGAATGAAAAAGACAGGTGTATACTGGTTCAATTCTTTCGACTGAATATCATGGATCACATGCTTAATTTGTTTTCTTTTGCTGGTTGAGACTGACTTGAGTTCAGTCTCGCGGTCTACTCAGACACTTCATGTTGTTTTTTCGTTCTTTTCTTCTCGGCTTTTGATGTGAACGTCTCATTTGCATTCTTTTCCTCGACTCTATCACTACATCTTCTCCTTTCACATCAGCATCGTCTACTTTCAGCATAATCTACGTGAGGTGCCTACAGCTGATACAGTGGTTAGCAAGCTGGTATCGCGGATCATTTTTTATCGAGTTATGATCTATAGTTCTTTCGATACTCACAACTTATACTACGCTTTTAGCTTCTTGGCCAAATTTAAGGTCAATCAATAACCTTTAACCTTTACATAATGATTGATTTGTTTTATTACGGCCCATTTTTAACCTTTTGCGGTTTATTTAATTCAATAAAATATTTTTAGATTGCAATAATATTTTGGAGATAATGATGATTTGATTTTTTTTATTCCTTTTTTTCGGCTTATCAACCCTTTGCATGTCATTTAATGCCAGAATATATCTTTAGATTGTAAGAATTTTTCTTTTATATAATAATTGCTTAGTGACAAGTCTTAATAATTAACCCATAGTTTGGGGAGAATAGTTGAATTCATACATTTTCCAAGGGTATTTGGGCATGTGAATATAACGAAGCTATCGGGAATTGGAACTCGACTCTACGATTAAATATTCCGAGCCATTACCCATTAAATCACTCGCGCATCCAAGCTTCCAGTACCTGGTATCCCCAAACGGTCACCCATCTAGATAATTAACAAGCTCAACATTGCTTAACTTTGTTGATCTTACGGCAATCGGTGTTTTAACGAGATGTGACCGTAAGCCTCAAGATAATAATGATTTACTAATACAAGTCCTAGTAATTAACCCAACGCTGGGGGAGTAGAGGTGGACCCATACTTTTCCTAAGGGTATTTGCGCCTAAGTGAATATAACAAACCCGACTAGAATGGGAACTCCACTCTCCTATCTCTAATTCCGAGCCCTTCCAATTCCATTACACCACCTACACATCCAAGCTTACGGCACTTAGTATTCCCAAGCGGTCACCCATCAAGGTAGTGACCTGGCATGACGCTGCTTAACTTCGGTGTTTCAACGTGATATCGCTGTAAGCTTTTTTACATAATAAGTAAAATCTTCACAAGATAACCCTTCTTTACAAAGTTAAACATTTTGGTGTCGACCAATCAGGACGGATGGTCTTTTCGATCTTCCAGCTTGTGGTATTGTCCTATAGCTTAACAACAATCTACGAAGAAAAGTTTTATCTTTTCTTTCCGTTGTACACATATTTTCAATCCGTTTCTCATAGTTTCCACCATCCTTTCTGCCTATCCGTTTGACTGAAAATTGTACGGTGGGGTTTTATATAGTTTGCATCCAATTTTGTTCAACCATTTTCATAGTTCCTTGTCACAGAACTGAGGCGTTGTCAGATATTAGCGTTTTCGGAATTCTATTTTTTGAAAATATGATCCTGGACGCTTGTTTCACCGTCGAACTTCTTTTGTTGGAAACCTGTATTAGTTGTGGCCAGCCTGAATACGAATCTACCAGTATTAATTATAATCCTACTCTATTTATATGTATATGATTCATGTGTACTCTGTTCCAAGGTTGGGACTCTTTAAGCCCGTCTAAATGTTTCTTCTTTCATGGCACATTTTTCACCTTTTTATGTCTTCTTCTATATTTGTAGAATAGCCTGGCCACCATGCCTCTAGCCTTAATCTCCTTTGCGTAGACGTTATTCCGCAATGAAAATCGATTTAGAATTTTGCTCCTTTGCGTTATTGGCGGAACCACTACGTCTCCATTACAAATTACACACTTTTCTACGGTTAACTTGTGTTTAACCTCTTTAAAACGCCTTTCTACCCGTAAGCAATTATTCCAATTACTACTTTTTTACCCTCAGCTATCGGCAAAATATCAGTTTCGACCCAGTGTAAGAAAGTAACTTCGAAATTTTCCTCCTCATTCTAACTTTCAGAAGTAATGAACATCAATCTCAACAAAGCATCTACATGCAAAATCGCATTGCCTTTCATGTACTCAATATCAAAGTCAAACGCCATTAACATTGAGGCCCATCTTAAAATTCTACAAGACGTTGCATTAGTAAGCTCCTTTTCTGGATTAAATATGAATAGTAAATGTCTACGGTCGGATCTTTGTAGGTATTTATTTCCAATTAAAAACTGATCAGCTCTATTTGTCGCCCATGTTATGGCCAATGCTTCTTTCTCAATATTTGAATAGTTCAATTCGGCTTTCGATATTTTTCTCAAAAAAATACATACTAGGATGACAACTCTGAGCTAACATTCCTGTAATTGAGCGTTCACTTGCCTCAGTTGCTACTACTGTTTTCTTTCTAGGGTCGAATATTTTTTACTACGAGCTTCTTTGCCAGAACTGCGTTTAAATTTTCAAATGTTACTTGTTCTTTCGTCCAAATAAATTCCACATTCTTTTTTCTTAAAACGCCAAAAGATTCTGACAATTCTAAGAAAGATTCCTGTTTTTTGTGTGTGTGTTTTTTTTTTGTTTTTTTTGCTGTGCGTTTGAGGTCTCCTCCTGAGTAAAAGCCGGCATCAAGACTTTCATCACAGAAAGAAAATACCAAATTAAATCGCGCTCTCCTGATTGCTCTACCGCCCATGGGAGTCACTGTTATTCCTCAGTGGTCACCCATCTGAGTAATGACCAGTCTAAACGTTTCTTAATTTCAGTCCATAGACGTTGATTTTTCAACGTGATGTTCAATACTGTCTTTTAAGTTGAATATTATCCTTAATTGATTTAATAACATTTAATCAATAGTAACTATTAATTCTTTTTTTTTTAAATATGATATATATTTGAAGTTTGAATTTATAACTTCTTTAGAATGATTTATGTTAATTAATATTAGGAAAAAATATACCGTATTTTGTTGTGTATAACACGACTTGATTATAATACGACCCTGTGTTTTTGAAGCTAAAAACAGGGAATTTATTCGGTGGAGTAGTGGATTGCGGCTCCGATTGAGGAATCGGAGAGTTAGTTTCGAATTCCAATCGAATCCATTACATACATGTGGGTGCTAATAACTTTGGAAAAGATATGAATCCTCTTCTCCCCACCCAGGGAGTAAGGGTAAATAACTGAACAGACCGGGTTCTATAGTCTTGCATAGCAACTGGTCTACCGCAAAAAGAAATGGCAACCTACTGTGGGGGAAAAATCTACCTCGTTAGTCATGCATCGAAAGATACATGATCGCCTAAGCATTACGACACATAACTGACTGTGTGTATTACGACTACGTAGTACAGCCATCCCTATGCATTCTTTTTAAGTATTTCTATATTATCCATTAAAATATACATATATACATATATTTCATTAAGTATTTAATTTTTCACGATATTAATAAATAGAAATGAACCAAATGTTTTGTCATTTCTTGTTTCTTCTAATTTGCGTTTAAAAATTATTTTAAATTTTCCAGGAAACTAAACATTACCCGGTAATAGAAGTTAAGGTGTTAATTAGTCTATCATACTTTTCTGTTTGATGTGACTATATTATCTTTCTTTATATTCATCATCATTATCCTTCGACCTCCTTATATTTGTTCGGAACTCCATTGGCAATCCTTTTCCATGCCGTTCGGTCTTGTATTAATGTCCCCTGAAACCCCAATATCCAACAGCTATTGTGTCTGGGAAAGTCAATTTTCAAGAGAAAACACTTCCAGAAGGGTGCCATAAAAGTAAGGGTAAGACGATTCCCATGTCCGTTTTATATATTCTATATATTAATAAAATATAAAAATTAAACATGACTGACTTTCTTTAATGATGAAAAGAGAACATTTTTTTCATAAGGTAAAAAAATTGTTCTAATTTTAAACATGTGTCAACAACCGGAGGAATATAAAACTCACAGCATGGGAATTACTGCCCACATTTAAAAGGAGAGAAAAATTTAAAAAGTAAGAAACAAAATGGATATTGTACATTCCCTTTATTAATTGTTTAATAAATTTGATAAATTTCCTCTCTTTGAAACAAAAGACGTTTAATTACGCTGATTCTCAAAGAACAAATATTGTCATCATATCAAATACCTTTTGTAAACAATTGTTATCAACTCCTGTCTATTTTGTGTTTTGTTAGATATAAAGAGGTTTATTATTTTTGAAAATGTTTACTTGTGTATAATATGACCTTCTGTTTTTTGGCATTAATTTTCGTTTAATTGTTTTTGTATTATGCACAAGTAAATACGGTAATTATTTGCAATATTTGGTTACGAGTCCACATGATATATAATGAGCAGGCAGTATAACGGATATCGTTCCGAAAGGTGGAATCAGCAAACCGAGTTCAAATTCCGAATTATTTTATTGCATTAACTTTCGCACTAATGCCCATGCAAGAAGATATTACTCTTTCTCTTCTCTTCCTTTAGCTATGCGTTAAACAGCAAGTTAGCTTCGTTTGTGAAACAATCGAAATGAAGGAACACTCAGTATTCCAAAACATAGACAAGGCAAAGGGAAACAACTCCACCATCCTACCCAAGATTCCTAATGTTCCAATCCCTGTCGACGTCTTTATACTTACACTGATATACCGTTAGGAAAGGTATGAATACATCCCATACTAAGGTCTGCTCAGCATAGTTGCAGTATAAACCACAGGTGGGCTCTGTGGGTGTTGAATAAACACAAAATGTGTCTGCAATAGGAATTCGCCGGGTTTTCTCGGATAAGAGTGGCTGCGACATGAAGATTGACTAATTCTCGTAGACATAAAACACATAACCGACACATTAACTGATGCTGAAAAAGAAAAAAATGAGGGCTTTTGTCAGATTCCTTGCTCAGCAAATAATTAGAAATGTTTTGCCAAAACAGATCAGCAATATTCTAAATTCTCAAGAGCGATGACTGGGGTCGTGTAATAGTCGTTCACTGACTTCCAAATGCGGTAAATCTGCCATTTAGAAACAGGCTGACTTTTACGAATTTTTTGGAGCGTTGAGATCACTTCACCTTAATCTCAGCCTAACATTAATAAAGCTTTATGGTCAATGAAATTATTTTCCATGTATCAAAAAAATGCCATTGAAACGTCTTAAATGAGGATTATTTAAACCAGCTCAAGTAACTTTCGGCACGAGTCCGATGTAAAGACGACGTTTTATATTAACAGAAATAATGCCACCAATTTGATATGATAAAAACTATCGTCATATCCTTTGCCTTTGTTCAACGGAACTAGTGCGCCTTAACTCGTCTAACCGAAATAACAGAAGATGAAGAAACCAGTCTATGAAAACGGTACCCTTACATGAAAACCTGTATAAGAAACTGTATTTTTTTCTGAAGGCCAAAAGAATCTGCCTTTCTGCTACTGTCTTCGATCTCTTGACAAAATCAGAAACAATATAGTGATAATTATGGAACATTACTATTAGGAAATTAAATGACATTAAATATTACTCACAAACTACTTTTTAAGACCAGTGACGCAATTATATACATATTTATTAATCTTAGTATAACTGCTTGCAAAGTTACGGTTTGAGAGCAGCGAGCAAGCAAGAAGGGTAATGATAATATTAGTCGTTTCCCTATGAAGAAACATTTGCCATTCATTAACCAAGAATCCAGTAATGCTTTCAGTTGAAACGTATAAAATCTTTCTATTAAAGCAATTTTTCAAGAAAATCAGTTTGTTAAGTCCAGTGGCTGTTATCGCTCCTTCCAATATTAATGAGGTGTGGGGCCTTCCTAATCTTTTATTTCAATAGTGTGGAATGTCAACATCTTGATTATGTCATTATTTTCTTTTCGCGTTACATGTAAGATTAGCTCTACTGAAGTTAAGTAAATTATGATATATTTGGGAGTTAGATAAATAACTAAGTTTTAAAAGAAAGGATATGAAAACTTAAATCTATTTAAATATTAAGGCGTCCGAAAAGTAATTAGATTCTATAATCCCAATGGTGGAGATGGATTCATACATTTCCCAAGCGTATTTGATAACGAACTCGGCTCTCCGATTCCTCAATATATATATATATATATATATATATATA